CCCGGGCGCTGGGGCGCTGCTCGCCTCCCGGCCTCGTGGCCGGCGACAGGGAAAGTCCCGGGCGCTGGGGCGCTGCTCGCCTCCCGGCCTCGTGGCCGGCGACAGGGAAAGGGCCGTGGGCACGAACCTGCCCCACGCAGGTGCACCCCGCCCACCTGCACACGCGCCAACCTCACCCACCCACACCCTCCTGTCCTTGACCTCCGGCACTTTGACTCCAGGCCCCTCGCCCTTCCTGGCCACAGCCCAGCTGAGGTCCCCCTGGGGCTTCCTGGGGCTACGTGTCTACCCCGACCTCCAGCATCGCCCATGGCACAGGCCACGTCCCTGCACCTTTGCTGCCCTCCTCCTCCCTTTGGGGGTCCTTCCTGGGCTGCGTGTGGCTGGGGTCTCCTGGAGCAGCATTCTCCTCCCCTCCTCCCCTGCCTGCCCGTCACTGGGGCGTCACCCAGCACTCACTTCCGAGGACACCCAGACCCCCATCTCCAGCCCAGACCCCTGCATCCAGCAAACCCACAGCTGAGAGCCAGTCCCTCACCTGCTCTGAGCCCCCTCCCTAGAGAACAGCCCCCAGCCTGGTCCCCTCAACATGGGCCTGGGCGTCCCGCCTTGTGCAACAAATCGAGGGGACTCCGCCTCTTATATAGCCCCTCATCTGCCACTGCTGCCCCTCCCAGGAGGTGGCCGCGGTTCCTACGCCCTGTCCCACACTCCAGCCCCTGTTCTCCACCCTGCAGAGATCTTTCTAGAATGCAGAGCCGTCCCCACCCACGTGCTAGGTGCTGGACCACACGCTTGGCAGAAATCCTGCTGAGGCTGTGTGTCTGCAGGCCCTTCTGCCTGGGAGACTCGGACGGCCGGGCGGGCGGAAGAGAGGCACGGAGGCCAGCGCGGAGCTGGTCTCCATGTCTGCTCGTCGGTCTGGTCTGGTTTGCCACATCCTCTGCTCCCTGATTCGCTCACTCACGTGGTCATTAGAGAGCAACAAACACCATCAGATCCGCTTGCCAGTCCAAGACTTAACAACATCCCCCAAACCTACATGGATCACGGTGCTTCCGCTCCATCTGTCCCTGCTCGGACCACCGCCCTGGGGGATCGCTACCCAGAATTTTCTGTTTGACATTTCCTTGACTTTAAGAAAAAAAAAACCTCATTTTGCCACACAGTGAGTCTTCCCAAACCCAGTGAGCTGAGCCGTGGGAGCCGGGCCCCCAGTGTCCCTGCCTCCTCTCCTGGTGGGCATGGGCCCTGGACGGCTGCCCGGGCCCCCACTCTGTTGGATCCAGGGTAGGGTACTGCCTCTATCACTCTATCCAGCCACCACAGCTTGCTCCTTGAATCCCCACACTCTGCTCTGCACGGGATGCGCCTCAGCCCGGAACACCCCTGGGTCCTCTCTACCCCACCTACAGGCGCAGGGCCCAGGGGTTGACTAGGCTGGCCCCCAAGCTGCAGGCTCTCCAAGGAGGGCCTTCAGGGAGCGCCTGGAAGGATGAACCCAGATCCCTGGGCGGCAGCAGGGCCCGGGAGCAGAACTCAGGCAAGGCCGCAGGGGAGGCTGACGTGGTCCCTCGAGGTGACCCACGGCTGAGGGCATACCCTTCCCGTGTCCGGCTGCTGGCATGTCCAGAGGGCAAGGGCACGGCGGGCAGCCTGGCCTCCCTGGGCACCCCTCCAAAGATCTGAGTGGAGGGAGCTTGGTGGGTCACCGTGTCATTCCCCACAGAGGAGGTGGGACAGCCGTGGCCTTGCTGTGACGGTCCTCATCAGGGCCTGTCTGGGACATCGTCCCTTGATGTGTGAGGAGGGCCACAGTCTTGGGAAGAGCAAAGGCAAAGCAAGCCCTCCCCCTGGGCCTGCTGTGGGGCAGGCGGGAGCGTGAACCCCAGCTCCGTGCGTCCCTGCTCCGTGGGCACAAGCCACCCTGGGAGCTGTCTGATCCTGGACTGTGCCCGTGTGCCCCCTGCAGGAGGAATGGGGGCTGCCCACATTGCATGGGGGAGGGCATGCCTGCGTGACCCCCGGCCTGGAACCATGCCATATGGACAGGGTCTCTGGGCCTGGCTGGTCCCCTTAGGATGACCATGCCGTGGTCCAGAACTCTGGCTCAGACAGGCCTCGGGCCATCCACCCGCGGTCCTGCCGTGTCGGGCGTGTCCAGGGCAAGCCTTGGGGGTTGGCCGGGGGCCGACCACACCGCCCAGCCCCAGGGTGCAGGCGCCCCGCCCCCAGCAGCGCCTGAAGTCCCAGAAGCCTGTGCCCGGCTGCCCGCGGCCCCTCGGCCCGGGCTTCCCCCAGCACGCGGCAGTTTGCTGGGCGCCCGGGGGCAGTCTGTGGGCAGTGAGGCTGGGCAGGACCAGACCAGACCAGTCATGGGGATTGGAATCCTTTATTGACCACTGAGACGAGCCGTGTCCGCCCTCTCTCTGTGGGGGGTGCCCGGCCGGGCGTGGGGGTGGCGGGCGGCCTAGGACTCTGTCTCGAACATCTTCTTCCTGCCTTCCATGCCAGACTTCTCCTCGATGTTCTTCCGCCAGTCGCCCACGTCGCGCAGGTCCCGCTCCTGGGGAGGCGTTGGAAGAGGCTGCAGACCCCCTGTACACCCCAGGCGGGCGCTGGGTGGTGGTGCTAGGCCACGCTGTGGGGTGGAGGGGACCGTGACCTACCTTCTCGGTGTCCTCCTTCTTGACCTGCTTCAGGTTGGCCCGGAGGTCCATGCACACCTTGTGCTTGGAGCCCAGCAGCGCCTTGAGCATGGCGTCGGCCGACATGCGCACCCTTCTCAGCGGGGGCCTCTTGAACTTGCCTCTCAGGTCGAACAGCTTCTGGTTCATATCCTCCAGCTGTGTGAGGCGGGGGCGAGGGCTGGTGGGAGCCAGCGGTGGCCAGCCCCCCACCCCCCGCCGGCTCGGAGCGCCCCTCCCCGCGCGCCCGGCCCCGCCCCTTGCCCGCTCACCTCCTTGCTGCTCTTCTGGACCCTCACTTCCATATCATACTTCTCCTCCTCGGCTGCGTCGATCTTGGCATGCAGTTGTTTGCAGAGCTCCTGGGGGTGGGGCAGCAGGTGGGGGGGGGGATTGGGCGGCGGTCCACCTGCCCTAACCACCTTCTTGACCAATGGGGAAACTGAGGCAGCAGGCTGGAGCGCTGCTCGGGGAGGGTACCTGCACTTCAGACATGGAGCCGGGGAGGTGCAGTGGGGGGCAGTGCTCAGACAGGTAGTTCTGCTTCTCCGACTCACGGCGACTCTCTTCCTTCTCCAGCTCCGTGGCCGCGATCTGGAGCATGACGCTCTGCGGGGGACAGGGAGCGGGGGGGCAGGCCAGTGAGGGGCCGTGGGGGCCCAGCCTGCACACACCCCAGGGTGGCCCTCTCGGGGGGCAGCACCTACCTTCAGGTGCTGTCTCCGGGCCGTGATGGCCCTGTTGCGCTTCTGCGGGGTACGGGGGGGAAGAAGAGTCAGGGCCCATCCGGGTCCCCAGCACCCCCACATCCCTCCACGCTCGCCCACCGCACTGATGGGCCCTGCCTGGGGGACAGCTGGACCTGGGGGCTCCTGAGGCCCTGCTGGAGGGCCTGGGACCAGGACACCTGGGCCCAGGTGGCAGGTGAGGTCCGAAGGCTGGGGGAAGGGTGGAGAAGGGGCCGTGCCTAGGGGCAGTGGGAGGGGCGGGGGATCGCGGCAGGGCGCCGTAGGTGGGGGGAGCGGACAGAAAGAAGAAGCGATTCTGGTGACCTGGCCACAGCCCCACTTCCCCTGCCCTGTGAGGCACGGAGGCCGCATCCTCTGTTTCGTCAGTGTCTGGGCGGTGGGGTGGGGCACTTTCCCAGGGGTGGGCTGGTCAGCTTCCCTCGAGCTCTGACCTCTGACCTATCCCAAGTAAGGGGTCCCATCCCCTCTGTGTCTCATGCTCCCCCCAGCCCCAAGCAGGTACTCACCTCCTCACTGTCCCAGGGAGGGGGCAGGTGGGGTAGGGGGGAGAGAAGAGAGAGGTTAGGGACATGGTTAGGGACGTGGATGGGGCAGTGTGATGGGGTGCGGGGGGGAGGTGGCCAGAGCGGGCTGGGGAGCTGCAGAGACCTCCACCCCGGTGGGGGGAGTGTGGGGGCGTCAGGGGCCCTGGGCTTGGAGCTGCACTTACTCCCCCATCCTGAAGTCCTGGGCTTAGAGCCTGTGGAAGAGAAAAGGCCTGGGCATGAGCGCCATGGTCCCTGTCTCCCCAGGTGGGGGCAGCCCTCAGACCAACCCTGCCGCCTGTCACGCTGCGCCCAGCTCCGACCTCCTTGGAGGCGCTGTCTTGGGATTCCCAGGGTGAGAAGAGGAGAAAGTGTTCCCGAAATGTCCCGGGCGGGGCCTGGGTTGCTGCAGCTGTCCGGGGCGGGGGGGGGGGGGGGCAGGTGGCCATCAGAGCCGTCCAGCTATTTTTAGTTCTGTTCCTTCGGCTTTGGGCCCAAGTGCATGCAAGAAACTGCTCCCCACTTTGGCCTGGGGTCCCTCGACCTGTCACATCTCCTCCTTGTCTCCCACCCAGAAGTGAGGCCCGGTGATCAAGGGGCTGTCCGCGACCCCTGCCCCCCACAGCCACCTCCCAGTGCATCTCCGTCTGGCTCCCAGCTCCATGGAAGCCCCCCCAGAGAGGCTGCTGGAGGCGGCCCCCAACCTCCGGGACCCCCACCCTGGGACGTCGTCCTGCAAGCTAGCTCAAGAAGTGCCTGTCCTCGGCCTAAGCTGGCCCGGCTGGCCTCACCTAGCGTCTGGACAGCAGTGCCGGGAGCGAGGTCAGGCCGGCGGCGGCAAGCTGGGCTGGTGGGCCCAGGGGGAGGGGTATAAATGGCCTCCCCCAGGCTGGGCCCCCGCTCAGAAAGGGCATGGAGCCCTCCTCAGACCAATGGGGGCACAGGGGCCTCCCCACCTGCCCAGGCCGCCTGGCCCGGCCCAGCCGCGTGCTGTCGTCCAGTCCAAGAAGTCTTGGTGGGGGGGGGGGGCTGCCGAGGTTGGGTTGCTCTATTTAGAGCTCAGTGACAAGTTCGAGAAGCCTCCCTTGTTCTTGCAAGGAGCCTCTGGTCAGCGGTAGGTGGCCTTGCTGGGCCACTGCAGGGCACAGGCTCAGGGTCAGCTGAGGGATCACTCCGGTCCTAAGCAGGGTCCACACCTCAGTTTGCCCTCTGCTTCCCCAGGGGGCCGGCTTCCTGGGGTGGAGCAGCTCCCCTGCAGCTCAGTGCTGCCTTTGAGCTGGGCCAGGTGTTCCCGGGCATGAGCTGGCCGCGTCCCTTCCTTCCTCCAAGCTGGCTCCAGCTCGGGGGCAAGGCCTGGCCCCCCAAATGTGGCCCACGGCAGTGGCAGGGGCCCTCTGGGTGGGGGCTGCCCTCCCCCGGCTGGGATCCTGCCCTCCCGGGAACAGGAGGGAGGGGGCCTGGACGTGCAGTGGGCCAGAACGCCCTGCCCTGGGGTGGTTCCTGGCTCACTCGGAACACGTCCTTCAACCCAGGGATGGCGGCACCACCCGCCTGGGAACCTCTCCCTGACCCGAGGGGCCTGGGGCCCGCCTGGGCAGGCCCAGCACTGCTGCCCTTCTCACCCTGGCCCGGGCCTGCGCCCCCCGCCCGGGCCCCCACCCAGCAGACACATCCGGAGGACCATGACTTGGCATCCTCTGAGCTGGGGGTGCGTGGCCCCAGCCCTGCCGGCCTCAGGGCCGTGGGGAGGGTCAGGGGAGCTGAAGCCGTCCAGATGTGTGGGGATTAGAGCTGCATTCCTGGCCAGGGCTGAGCCCCAGGAGGCCCGAGGAGGCTTCCTAAGACATCTACTGCCCCCTGCTGTCCCGAAGAGGAAGCCCCGCAGCAACAGCCCTTGGAAAGTGTGGGACCCTGCGGGGGGCTAGGGCGGCCCCTTGGGTTGGGGTCCTTTCCCTCCACTGTCACCACCCCCCCAAACGCCTCCCGATTACCCCCTGTGTCCCCCTGGGGCCGGCTGCAGTCTCCCTCCCAGACCCCGCAGCCCCACTGACAGAGAGGTCTTCCTACCTCTTCCTACGATCCCCAGCGGGCTTGGAGGGGACCCCTTCATCCCCCTGAGGGCTCAGACACTGGTCAGAGGCCTCAGGGCCTGGCTGAGCCTGGAGAGAGGCCTCTCCCCACAGCAGTGATGGAGGAGTCCCTGACCCCACCGTGTCCCCACGGGCTCAGGAAAGACACACGGCCCCAGCAAGAGGAGGGATTTATTACAGCAGCCCCCGGGGCAGCCTGGACAGCACCCATACCTCACTCCCGGGAGCCAGACAAGGGCAGGTGCAGGTGGGGCTTCAGGGCCAGAGCCCAGTCCGCCTCCCTGGCCGGCTGCAAGTGGTACCACTGGGCAACAGGCCGCCGGGCGTGGGCCAGCATGTCCGCCCAGTGCTGCAGAGGCTGACCAGAGGCCCGGGTGCCGAGCAGCACCTTGCCCACGGGCTCAGCCTGAACCCGTGGGCCCCGGGCCCAGACAGCCAGCACCAGATCCACACTCTGGGTAGAGGCAGGCCGAAGCGCATGGGGAAAGAGAAAGACAGCGGTCGGTTTGGCCCCAAGGGTGCTCCCCCCGACCCCTTCCTCCAGGCAGCCCACCTGGATCTGACTGAAGGGCATAAGGAAGGTAAAGACCTTGTTGAAGTAGGGGGCGGTTGTGCCTTTGCGAGCCGAAGTCTTTCTCTTCCTCCACTTCCTCTGGTTCAGCATGAGCTGGACCTTCACGTAGGGGTCTGGGCAGGTGAAAGGGATCAGAAGTGTCCCAGGTCCGAGCGCTGAGCATGGAGTACCCCCTCCACGCAGAGGGGCAGGTACGGTTCTCACCTGCCAGGCCCGGGCTCAGGCCTCGCGCCTCCAGCACGACCACAGTCAGCCTGCCTGAGCTGGGCACATACCGGAGCCAGAAACACAGCTTTCCGGACTGCTCAGGCTGCGGGCAGCGAGAGGGGACCTCAGTTTCCCGTGTGGCACCCAGGGCAGGGCCAGGCTGGAGCCCGGCAGTCCGTGGCCTCACCTCCGTGGCGCCCGGCGGGCCCAGCTGGTACCACTGCTCTAGGATGTGCTGCAGGTCGACGGCACCCAGCGTCAGGCTGAGCTCGCCCAGCGGCTCGTGGGCAGAGAAGCGCCTGAAGCTCAGCACCCGCACCTGCAGGGTGGTCTGAGACAGCTCTTCCTGCAGTACCTGCGGGCAAGGGTGTGAGCTGGGCAACCCCATGCGGCCCAGGGCCCCCGGCTCACCCAGCCCAGACGCATGTGGAAGCAGCAGGTCTCCTGGAACGTGGGGCAGAGCATGCCGTGGTGCACCTTTGTCTCGTGCCCGTGCCCTGCCTGGCTAGACAGGCTGACTCAGGCATAGGGGTCCGCCATGCCGCCCGGACCACAGGTCCTCAGGTCTGCAGCCTGCTTGAGGCCCACTTTGATCTGGGAGTCAGGGGTGGCTCAGCCCCCTGGGCCCTCCCTGGTCAGCCCCGAACCCAGCACCTGCCCGGCACCCAAACCCTCCCTGAACCTGCAGGCCCTCTGCGCCTGCAAAGGGGGGGGGGGGGGTCTGCACTTCCTGCCTTCCAAAGTCATACTCCAGGGAGAACTGCAGGCGTCCCCGGTGCTGGGGGCCCCCCGGGCAGTCTCCGAGTTATCCATGTCAGGTTGCACCTGAGGTAGGTAGGGATAGGTGACAGGTGCTGCTGGGGAGGCAGCACCACGTCCTGGGCCAGGCCACACAAGGGCTCACGTCCTCAGCTCAGCTCTGTGAGACGGGGCTTAGCTGATGGATCTCCCCCAAATCCATCTCGAGCACCACTGCCCTCCTCAAGAACCTCCTGTGGCTCCCCGTGGCCCGTGGGCCAACCTCTGGGGCTGGCATTCAGGGCCTGCAGGCCTTCGTCCCACCTGCCTCCCTTTTCTCCTGCCTCCCCCTCACCTTCGCTCCTCACTTCCCCTGCCGGGAGGGCCCTCCCTGCCTCTGCGCGACCAGACCAGCGTTGGGCGCTGAGCTTGCCCCTGCCCCTGGGCCCTGAGCTGCCCTCGGGGGCAGCCCAGCCTGGAGCTGGGCACCGGGGAGCGCTGGTGCCTGCTCCTCCCCAGGTGGGTGCTGGTGGTGGTCCCTTGAGGACTGCCCAGGCCCACAGCCTCCCTGTCCCCGGGCTTCTTCCTGTGGCCGTGGTGGCAGCAGGCGGCACAGAGGATGCAGGAGACCCGTGAGGACACCAGCTGCCACAGCGATGGCCATGAGCACCCAGCGGGGCCCTGGGGGTGGACGCAGAAATGCAGCTGAGATGCCTCTGTGGACAGCATCTCCCCCCTCCCCCGCCCCAGGGGTCCCACAACTCACAGGGGAGCCTGACGATGAGGTCCGGAATGGACCCGGGTATAGCCATGGTGCCCTCCGGGGCCGGGGTGCTGTGGGGGCCCGGGGGGTGCCCCATCTCCCGTCCCTGCTGGCTCGGAGCAGACAGCCGGGTGGCCGACTCACCTCTGGGGCTGGCCCCCCAGCCCCCGGCCCAGTGCCCCATCTGCCCAGCAGCAGCGGGCCCAGGGTCTGCCTGGGCAAGGAGGCAGCCCGGGGTGGCCAGGGGCAAGGGCTCTGAGTGGAGCCAAGGGGAGGGAGGCGCTGGGCTCTGGCCAAGGTGCCGGCTTGGCTGCCATAGGCCCAGCCTCCTGGCCACCTCCCCAGCCCCCAGCCCCCAGCCCCCAGCCCCCAGCCAAGCAGGCCAGGCCTCCTCATTACAGAGCCTCCTCCTCCAGGAAGCCCCCTCCTTCCCGGCCTCTCTCCCCGGGGCCCTGGGCCCCGCCTGGGGGCTGTTGTCAGGTCCTGACTCGTCCCTGGCCCTGACCTCAGGCCCGCCCTGGTTTGTCGGTCACACGGGTGAAGCCCTGTTCACACGTGGGGGCCGCTGTGACCCGGGAGTAACCGGGGAACGGGGAGACGGGGGCTCTGAGGGGCCAGGGCTCTGCTGGGGTCGTGGGGGCACGTAGGGAGAGGAGTGGGGGTCGGCTGCTGGGGGGAGCCTGTCCAAGCAAGCCTGGGCTGAAGATGCGTTCCCGGCACGGGCGCTGTGCCAGGAGCGCCCGGGGAGCAGGGTGAGGTGGGGGCAGGCAGGGACAGGGTGAAGCTGACAGCGGCCAGAACATTCCTCGCAAACTGACTCA